GAGGCAGGGCGCCCTGGCGAGGGGGGGGCTGCCGCAGGCATCGCAGTGGTGCGAAGGGTGCGAGCTTTGCCGAACCTCGGCTGCCGGAGTTGCGGGACTCGGGCTGGCCCCTCGCCTCCCTGCCCGGTGAGCAGCACGGGGCGGCAAAGGCTCGTCCCCTCCTACGTTCGCAGGCTCTCCAGAATCAGAAAGCAAAATAAAAAACAACCCAGGGGTCTCTTTTTTTATTTCTTCCCCAAATCTTGTGATTTTAAGCAGAGCCATGATTCAGCAGAGTAAGGAGGCTTCCTTGACTGAAAGGAAACAAGCAGCCGTGCTGCTGCCGGCTGGATTGTAAGCCAGGATTAAACAGCACTGGGGACCCAGAGGATAAACCCTAAATCCGAGGGGGCCATGTGAATACAGAGCTCATCTGCAAAGTGCAGACATGCTGCCAGCACCTTGCTCCGTCTGCAGGAGCAGACAGCAGATTTGAAGCTGCAGCTTTAGCTCTGCCTTAAATACTTTCACCTATATTGTAGGAATCATCACTTTACAGCCCGGTTATGTCCCTTAAAGCTGCCAGTGTCACGTGATGCTCCAAACCCATTTAAACACCTCATCCAATGTCTGACCATGAATACAAAAAAGCCACTGGGAGTCAATTCTGGCAGCAGATGACTTAATATTTAACACCCCTCACAATTCCCCCTTTACAACATTGTCTTTCTTTGTTCTTCACCCTGTGCTAATTTGCAAGATTAAGTTTTAATAAGCTCGGTTTTCACTTTAACCCTGCAAACCGCGTTTGCGGTGCTGCCGGCTCATGATTAAACCATGACGGAGGGCTCTCTCGTTCCCCTGCCTGGAGGCACATCACAGTGCCTGAATTTGTCTCAGCCGCAAAGATTTGTGGAGACTTTAAAACAAAGTGAGCTCTCTTGCTCCACTCATATCAAAGTACATGGGACATGTAGGAGAGAAAGCTCCAGTGCTCTCCCTTCGAGGACATCTCTGTGTCCACCTTGGAGATATCCTACAGCCCCTGGGGGAGCTGGAGTCAGCCTGGACTGAAGCTGTGGTCCACAGGGTAACCCAGAGCCCACACCCAGCTCCTCAGCACCTGCAGGGCCAACAGCTCCTGGAGAGGCATCCACTAAAACCACAGAGCTCATGCCCGATGGCAGTGAAATCAAAACACCAAATAGAAGGAGTTCCAGGCACCAGCACGCCAGGATGATATAAATCTCTGTCCAAAAAAGAAATGAGCGCAATAACTTCAATCTCATCGAAGGAGCCAGCACCAGGCAGGGACGTGGCCCTGCAGGGCTGGTCCAGTGGGCAGGTGGATCAAACTCTGGCGCAAGGTATCAGTCCGCTACTAGCTCATTTCATTTGCCACATGTGCTGTATAAGATACACAGCCATAAAGATTT